ATAGAGAAGTTTTTAAATGAAAACAATGGGAAATTAACAAATACAGATTGTGCCAACAGTGTATATTTAAAAAACTCCAGGCGTGTAGAAAAGGACCCCAAGCAACAGTTAACACTTAATGTTATTGACCAGTTCTTCCAAAGAGCTCAGAGAAGAGGGTGTCCCCATAGACCCTATTAAGTAAACCTCTATTATGGAATTCAAAGGAGTGGAAAGTATCGCCTCAGCAACTGCCAGGTTATTTAAATAGTGTACATAAAAACATAATTCTTCTGTTAAGGTAATAATCTGTCACATGGGCCAGAATCCTTGTTGTTCAGTCAAGAAACTGTGTTGACATTGACAAATTCTTGGTCTTTGGTTCCCCCAGCCCCCGTGCAGACCACTTTCCATCTTTAGCATTTTCTCTTTGTGGTCTTAATTAATGTCTTCGATTAGGCTTCAGTTTCCTTTCACACCAGTCCTCTTCTAATCATGCCTTGAGGCAGCCTCTTAGCTTTCTTGCCTTGAGTTTCCACAAAAGCTCTACTTTTTGCTTGGTAGGTGGAATATCCAATTTCAGTAAAGCCCTAATTTTCAAACTTGACTGAACATGGGAATTATCTGGGGGAGAAAGATTAAAAATATAGATTACTGAGCTTCACCTGGGGTCTGTAAATTTGAGTTGCATTTTGATACTCCACTTTTAACAGTTTCAGGTCAGTTCAGTTCATTCACTCAGTCGTGTGTGATTCTTTGTGACCCCATGGCTGGCAGCATGTCAGGCCTCCCTGTCCATCACCAACTCCCAGAGCTTGCTCAAACTCATGTCCATTGAGTCGGTGATGCTGTCCAACCATCTCATCCTCTGTCATCCCTTTCTCCTGCCTTCAGTCTTTCCCAGCATCAGGGTCTTTTCCAATGAGTCAGTTATCAGGTGGCCAAAGTATTGGAACTTTAGCATCCGTCCTTCTGATGAATATTCAAGACTGATTTCCTTTAGGATTGACTGGTTGGATCTCCTTGCAGTTTAAGGGACTCTCAAGAGTCTTCTCCAACACCACAGCTCAAAAGCATCAATTCTTCAGTGCTCAGCTTTCTGTATGATCCAGCTCTCACATCTGTACATGACTACTGTAAAAATTATAGCTTTGACTATTCGGACCTTTGACAGCAAAGTGATGTCTCTGCTTTTAAATACACTATCTAGGTTTGTCAAAGCTTTCCTTCCAAGGAGCAAGCATCTTTTAATTTCATGGTTGCAGTTACCATCCACAGTGATTTTGGAGCCCAAGAAAAGAAAATCTGTCACTGCTTCTAGTTTTCCCCTTCTATTTGCCATAAAGTCCTGGGGTCAGATGGCATGATTTTAGATTTTGAATGTGGAGTTTCAAGCCAGATTTTTTCACTCTCCTCTTTCACCTTCATCAAGGGGCTCTTTAGATACTCTTCACTTTCTGTCATTAGAGTGGTATCATCTACATATCTGAGGTTGCTGCTATTTCTCCCACCAATCTTGATTCTAGCCTGTGATTCATCTAACCCAGCATTTCTCATGAAGTCCTCTGCATGTAAGTTAAATAAGTAGGGTGACAATATACAGCCTTGTTGTATTCCTTTCCCAATTTTGAACCAGTCCGTTGTTCCATGTCCAGTTCTAACCGTTGCTTCTTGACCTGCATAGAGGTTTCTCAGAAGACAGGTAAGGTGGTCTGGTATTCGCATCTCCTGAAGAATTTTCTAAAGTTTGTTGTGATCCACACAGTCAAAGGCTTTAGCATAGTCGATGAAGCAGAAGTAGATGTTTTTCTGGAATTCCATTGCTTTTTCGATGATCCAGTGGATGTTGGCAATTTGATCTCTGGTTCCTCTGCCCTTTCTAAATCCAGCTTGTACATCTGGGAGTTCTCAGTTCATGTACTGCTGAAGCCTAGATTGAGGGATTTTGAAGCACGTTGAATGAGTGCAACTGTACAGTAGTTTAAACATTCTTTGGCATTGCCCTTCTTTGGAATTTGGAATGAAAGCTGACCTTTTTCAGTCCTTTGGACACTGTTGAGTTTTCCAAATTTGCTGACATACTGAGGGCAGCACTTTAACAGCATCATCTTTTAGGATTTGAAATAGTCAGCTGGAATTCCATCAACTTCACTAGCTTTATTTGTAGTAATGCTTCCTAAGGTTTACTTAACTCACACTCCAGATGTCTGGATCTAGGTGAGTGACAACACCATNTCCAGTGGATCTCCCCAACCCAGGAATCGAACCAGGGTTTCCTGCATTGCAGGCGGATCCTTCACCAACTGAGCTATGAGGGAAGCTAAGAGTAGTGCTTAAAAGACTTTAGTTTTGGGCTGTATACTAGATTGAGATATAAAATGTATTCTTATTTTGGGTCATGGACAAAAAGTTTGCAGACTGCCCTCTCAAGGTTATGTGTATAGCCTTAACCTGGCTCTTGCTGACTTGCTCCCCAAAGTGGTGGTGCCACTTTAGGGTCCCAAAGATGATATACTAGTGTTTCTGTTGTCTTTTCTTCTCAACAGTTTGTTTGGATGGACTTTAAAATTTTTGTCTGTTGATGAGTATGAAACAGTATCTCATTGTGGCTTTACTTTGCCTTTTCCGGATAGCTAGTGAGGTTGACGTTAATCACTTTTTTCTTTAATAGAGGAAAATTAATCTAATTTATCTGCTAGATATTAGATCAGTGTTGCAATGGTAATGAGGATAATCCTCAGTGGTATATTATAAATACATTTCCCTGAATAGTTGAAATGACTTGACTTGCTAGTACTAATGATTGACAGTTGAGGGGCGTAAGTGGTTTAATTTTACGAGTTTTCTCTTTATACACTATACTGTATGCTTAAACGTGAATCTTTGAATTTGGCATAATGACCTTATATTTGTATTCATACAAGACTATCAGTAGCCATTATTACTAGCATCATTTTATTGATTTGAATATTAATATTTTTATGTATTTGCACAGATACCTGCCCAGTATTTTTCTTAAAATATAGTAAAAATATGTGCATATGATGTTTAAGACTATAAAAGGATAAAAAAAAATTAGCGTTTCTTCCTTCCTTTCCTCCATTTCTCCTCCCCAGAAGCAACTATGAAAAAGATTCTTATATGACCTCTTAGATGCATATACTATATTGATCTCCCCCTTCCTTTTTTTGTTTCTAATTTCTTTTCTCAAATGACATTCTCATCATTATTTTGTAGCTGGCTTTTTCTTCTATTTAATAACATATCTCCAAGATTTTTTATTTCAACCCGTATGAATATCATCTTATTCTTTTCAACTGCTATATTGGATGCTATTATCTATATGCATTGTTATTTATGATTTAAGTATTGATGTATATTTAGGTTAAATGAAAAAACCCAGAAAATACACACAAAGAAACTGTGTTAAGTATTTTGTACTCACTTAAATGCATGTGTCTGTATATCTGTAGAATAACTTCTCGGAGGTGGAATTGCTGGGTCAAAGGGCTATGCCTTCAGATAGATTTTTGGCAAATTGCCTTCTTAACAATTGAACTTATTTAAACTTTCCCAATAATACTTCAGAATGAACTGACTAGTATTTAATGTTAACTTTGAAAAGTGCTCACATTGTTCAGTGTGTATATAGTTGTAGTTTGAATATGCCCTGTTTTGTGGTTTCCAGCTAGATACTGGAGTGTAGAATTTGTGAACCTTTTTTTGCCTTTCTTCCTCTTACCTCCAAACCTAATAGAAAGCAAACATGCTTTAGCTTAAGATAAAGCTAAATGAATTGTTAAATATCAGAATACATTGGTTATCCAAAATCTTTTAGAATCTGTGAAAGCTGATACTTTAAAATTAGACGTTGGATAGTGTTTCTGTTACTGTCTACTACAGAAGAGTACTATCAACAGTCTTTTTTTAGGGGAGAAAAAACATTAACTGCTCTCATTGATAGTCTTTAAATAGCAATTTTCTGAGTTTCTCATTATAAAAGATTTATATACTGTGTTAAATACTGTTTTAATCAGTTCCCTTTTATTTGCAAGTGACAGAAAACCAACATGTTCACTTTAAGCAAAAGGGGAGTGGTTTTTGGTTTGTGTGACTGGGAAATTTGAATGACAGCTTCTGCCAGTACTCCTGAGTTATATCAGTACTTTTCTCCCACTCCTGCTTCTTCTGTCTCTTGTGTTTATTCCCTTCTTCACAAGGGTGGTAAAGGTGGGTTGGCCCCAGACCACCTCTGGCTACCATCTTGGAAAGAACAAGCTTCAGAGTACTTCTCACTCAACATCTGAATATAGAATATCAGGCAGGACTCTAGCTGGCCCACAGTGCCAACGATCAGGAGATGGAATACTATGTTTGAGGACCCCATCAGGTTCAGGTGGTGTAGGGGGAAGGTAATTCTCTAAAGAGAGTGATGCTGGCAAATGCTGCCAGTAAAAGAAGCATGTCAAATCTTTCATAGGTCTAAGAGGTGGGTGTTCAGCTGCAGAGGTGGAATAGATACCATGAACAGGTAAATTATAAGGTAACAAATGGCTCAGAGAAGGCGACAAGCATTCAGAAGAGTTTGGGGGGGAGTTAGAGTAGTCTTTTGCAGGAAGTGGTACCAGAGTCAAATGTTAAGGTGGCCGTGTTATATTCCACTCCACTTGATTTCTTGCTTCATAAGGTCACTTTTATCCATCTTTTTCTTCGTTCTCACAGCCAGACTCTGAATCCAGGTCTTTATTTTCTCGGTAGTTACAGAAGATGCCCTGTTTCTGATCTCTTCCCCTTGTCCTTTTCATTGTACACACTGAAGCCAGAGAAGACTTTCTAGAACACTCTTCTCATGTCTCTGCCCTGCTCAGATTCTCTTTACAACCTTCATTACTGTCTGAATAAAGTGCTGCACAAATGCCTGCACCTAACGTTTAAGGATCCCTGTGTTCTGGTCCGCGAACTTCTTTTCCAACCTTTGCTTCTGCAATCTTTTACTTGGACTCTATTTGACAGCATTTTGCATGAACAGCCGAGAGGAGCACAGGCACTGTCTCTGTAAGCAGGTTTGTCTCAGTTGGCGACTCATATTTCTTCTCTTGGATTTGAGGGATTCCTCTAGGTTCAGTCTTCCCTTAATCCCTTTCGGCTTTCTTTTATTTATTCTTAAGCAGCTGAGACCCAAATAATTTCCAGAAGACAGTGAAATTCACTGGATTACCATCATGATGCTTATCACTAATATGGTGATTCTGTGACTTAGTTGAGTCTGTGAAAACTGCATCTTTGTAGTAGATGAAAGTTGGCTAAGATGAAGGAAGTTTCTTTCCTTACTACGTAGGGTGGGTGCTTAGTCACTAAAAGTTGTGTCTAACTCTTTGCAACCCCATGAACTGTAGCCTGTCAGGCTCCTCTGTCTATGGGATTTCCCAGGCAAGAATACTGGAGTGGGTTGCCATTTCCTCCTCCAGGGGATCTTCCTGACCCAGGGATGGAACCTGCATCTTCTTCTTGGCAGGCGGATTCTTTACCACTGAGACACCAGGGAAGCCCCTTACTATATAGGCTCACCTGCGAAGTCTTGCCTAGGGTGATCCCTTGAACCTTTTTCTACAGAAAGTAATGGATATAGTCTTATTTGGAAAATCTTTCCAGTGAATGAATATGAGGAGTAGTGCTTTGTATAAAAGATCTTGACCTTTTATATCCTTTAGTGTACTTTCTTCTCCTGGTGTCCTGTACCCTTTTAGTTTGTACCTAATGAGAGTTAGCTGGACCTGAGGAGGGCTTAGGAATGGGGGACGGAAGAGGCAATCAGGAGGTGACCAGCAGCCCAAATCCATGGTTACCATAAAGCTTAATTGTGAAAAATGAATTCAGTGTTAACTGATCTTGATAAAATTAATCCTGGTGTTTAAAAATACATTTCTTGTTCTGTAAACATCATTGGAAAGTGTAATAATAGTAATGTAGGCATAGCGTTTTAAGAGAAACTTGTTTCTTTCCACAAGTTTTCTTATTAAAATACTTCATAGACTTTTTCTGAGAATTGAATGAGATCTGCATGCTTGTTATAAACTAAGCTCTCAAATGATATGTGTTGGTATATTTATTTACATACATAGGTATTCCTAGACTGGACATCGCAGCTCGTAACTTGGCAAGCAGGCACCTGCTATTGCTTAATTTATACTGAAAAATTACAATCTGTTGTCTGTTTTCTTAAGTGAACCCCTGACCTCATTTTCTCCCAGTATTGGAACCTTGCTTGTCTTTGCTCTTCCTTCCTCCTTCTTCCTTTCTGTCTCAGCCCTAACCTTGAGCTTCACTGTGGAACTCCGGAAGTACTTCTGGCTGAGGAAGAGGGCTGCTGCACCAGCAGACTTCCTGTCTGATTGCTGAGAGCCATTTCTTAGTGCAGCGGGGCACCAGGTTGCGCCTGTTCTCTTGGAGATGTCTTTTTTTCATTTATATTCTCGTCGGGTCTTTCACAAATACACTGTTGACTTTTTTATCATGATTACTTATAAACCAGTTAACCCCTCTAGGTAATTGAGAACTGAATATAATTGCAATTTATTTTGTACTTCTGGTTTGGGATATAATGGGAAAACTTTGCATTTAGATTTTCTACAGACTTAAAGATCAGAGCTAAATCATTGCTTCTTGGTGTTCTTTAAACTTGGCAGTTATTAGAAAAATAGCAGTATGGCATATCTCTTTTCGGGGGTATATGTCCAAACAGGAAAAACTAGAAAACCCATAGTTTGTAGAAATGAGGTCTTGATTTGTAATTATATCATTTCTTTCTTTACAGGTAGGCGAAAACCGAGAGTACATCGGCCTCGTTCTCCAATATTGGAAGAAAAAGACATCCCGCCCCTTGAATTTCCCAAGTCCTCTGAGGATTTAATGGTGCCTAACGAGCATATAATGAATGTTATTGCCATTTATGAGGTATTGCGGAACTTTGGCACGGTTCTAAGGTTATCTCCTTTTCGCTTCGAGGACTTCTGTGCGGCTCTGGTGAGTCAAGAGCAGTGCACACTTATGGCAGAGATGCACGTCGTGCTTTTGAAAGCCGTCTTGCGTGAAGAAGACACTTCCAATACTACCTTTGGACCCGCTGACCTGAAAGACAGCGTGAACTCCACGCTGTATTTCATCGACGGCATGACGTGGCCGGAGGTGCTGCGGGTGTACTGTGAGAGTGACAGGGAGTACCATCACGTGCTCCCTTACCAGGAGGCGGAGGACTATCCTTACGGACCGGTGGAGAACAAAATCAAAGTCCTGCAGTTCCTAGTCGATCAGTTTCTCACCACAAACATCGCCCGCGAGGAGCTGATGTCTGAAGGGGTGATCCAGTATGACGACCACTGTCGGGTCTGTCACAAACTCGGGGATTTGCTTTGCTGCGAGACCTGCTCGGCGGTGTACCATTTGGAATGTGTGAAGCCGCCGCTCGAGGAGGTGCCGGAGGATGAGTGGCAGTGTGAAGTCTGTGTAGCACATAAGGTGCCTGGTGTGACTGACTGCGTTGCTGAAATCCAAAAAAACAAACCCTATATTCGACATGAACCTATCGGATATGACAGAAGTCGGAGGAAATACTGGTTCTTAAACCGAAGACTCATAATGTGAGTAAATCTGGTCTTAGGTTTTTTTGGTGTGTATTTAAAATTAAGCCAGCTTCCTTCATGATTGATGTAGCAGAGCTGTGCTGCCGATGTGATACAAAGTTTTGTGATTTAAATAATGAGTTGTATGCGTGTGTGCTAAGTCACTTCAGTAGTGTTCGACTCTTTGCGACCCAGTGGACTGTAGCCTGCCAGGCTCCTCTGTCCGTGGGATTCTCCAGGCAAGAATACTGGAGTGGATTGCCATGTCCTTCTCCAGGTGATCTTCTCCACCCAGGGATCAAACCCACGTGTCCTACATCTCCTGTATTGGAAGGTTGATGCTTTACCACTGGCACTATCTGGGAAGCCCAATGAATTGTATAGTTTAATAACTACTAATTTGAAGGAATATGTGCATTAAAACAAGTTTTTACAATTGTAAGGACAGAACGGTATATGAGAAAAAGCAAAGTATACACCATTGTATTCAATACCTAGGATGGAAAAATTAATTACTTAAAATTAATTGAAAACATTAATTATTAGGTGGAAAGCCACATGCCGCTGTGGACGCTTCCCCCATAAGATTCCCTGCACCGCCCCCAACCCCTACTCTCACTCCCCAGGATAGTCTCCGTGCTAACTTTGGTGTTAGGATTTTCTTGCTTCGCTTTTTAGTTTTGCTCTATCTGTATATGAAAAGGAGCAGCAAGAACAAACGAGCTGTCTCAGGAAAGATCGGTGCTGTTGTACTGATTGTAGTCTCTCAGAAGATAAACCCAGCAAACACATGGTCATAGTCTTGGCTTGTGCTTTCCCGAGGGTTTTCAAGAGATTTCTTCCAGACAGGGCAGTGGGAAGAGTGGGAGAAAGTCTGGGAAAGCAGAGGGTTAACCTTAGTGAGGGTGATGGACAGGGTTGTAGTGTGGACTTGGTTTTGGACAGCCTGTAGAAGTATGGTCAGAGAGAGCAGGCTGCTTTGTAGTTGCAGCTTCTAAAGTTTTCAGAGCCTTCTTCAAGCTCTCAGAACTAGGTCAAAGCAGAAAATTTGTCGTGGGATGAAATGAAAGAGCAGGCGTGGAGAGGAGAGAAGGAACTTCATCAGCCCACGGCCAGACCAGGCCAGGTAGAGAGGAGGAGCTTAGCCAGGCCCACCCTTAGTTTTTTAAAAATGGCACAGAATAAACAGCGAATTTCAGAATTTTGTACAGTTGTCGTCTTGCAGTGTTGCTATTGAGAAATCTGAATCCATTCACTGCTTCTTTGTATAGAACCAGCTTGGACTTACCTGGAAGCTTATAGAACCTTCTCTTTGCCTTGGTGGTTCTTGCCGTTTTAGAGTGATACGACCTAATGGGGGTCTTGTTTTTGTCCATTGTGTGTGTGGTGGGCACTTTGAGTCTGACAGTTGAGTCAGTTCTGAGAACTTCCCTTGAGGACTTCCTCCTCTCCTGTTCCCTGTTTCATTTTTCTTGAACTATTATTTTATTGAATGTTGGACTTCCTGTTTTGGTCTTCTGATTTTATCTTTTCTCTCCAGTTTTCCTCTTTGTCTTTGTCTTCTTTGGAGTGTGTGGGTGTGCGCGCACGCGTGTGTGTTGCTTGGTGTGTGTATGTTTTGCTCAGTTTTTCTGGAAGATTTCTTTATCTTGGTCTTCAAGCCCTACTATTTATTTTTCCTTTCCTGTCATATTTTTATTTTTTAAGAGCTCTCTTGTTCTTAAAATCATCCTCGTTTTTTAAAAATAACATAAAATCCTGGTCTTTTATTATTTTCTGGGAATAAAAGTTTCTCTTACTTGTGAAGATTATTTTTGGTAGTTTTGATAGTTTTCCATTTATTTTTTCCCTCTCTGCATGATCTCTGTTCCTTCTAGTCTGCTTCTTCCTGCTGTTTGTTCGTTTGTTTTGTCTCTTCCATCCTTAGATGTCTATTAATCCTTAGTTTTCTGCTCTTGATTGATTAACCTTGTGGGATTATACAGCTGATTGAAAGTTCTGAGCAAGTGGGTAGGCTCTGTCAATTTTGAGCTTAGCCTTTAGGTGGTTTTTCTTAATCTTTGTTCTTGGTGATCCCCAGTGGCACTCACTATCTTTAGCCCTTCCTCTTGAACTTGTCAGGTGGTCCAGAGAGGCCTTTTCTTGTGTCCGGCGTAGAGCCTGAGGGTCTGGCTGGCTGGGTGGAGAACGTGGGCTGCATTTACCATGCACGCCACATTTACTTTGTGCTTTGTTTTTTGTTCAGTGGCTCAGTCGTGGCCGATTCTTTGCAACCCCATGGACTGCAGCACGCCAGGCTTCCCTGTCCTTCACTGTCTGCCAGAGTCCTTCACTATCTGCTGGAGTTTGCTCAGACTCACGTCCATTGAGTTGATGATGCCATCCAACCATCATCCTCTGTTGCTCCCTTTTCCTCCTGCCCTCAATCATTCCCAGCATCAGGGTATTTTCCAGTGAGTTGGCTCTTTGCAGCAGGTGGCCAAAGCATTGGAGCTTTAGCATCTGTCCTTCCAATGAATATTCAGGGTTGATTTCCTTTAGGATTGACTGGTTTGGTCTCCTTGCAGCCCAAGGGACTCTCTAGAGGCTTCTCCATACTGTGTGCAGAGCCACTCAGTTCCTTGGTTTTCTGTACAGTACCTTTGTTCCTGGTGTCCCCTGGTCCAGAGAAGCTCACTTTTACCTCCTGTAGTAACTAAACCTTTAGTGGCTTAAAGTGGGTCAGTACGTGGTCTCTAGATCTGCTCCTGACACAGCTGCCAAGCCCTTCGCTGCTGTCGATACTCCTTCTGCATTTCCGTGCCTTCTGAGTATTGTGATTGCTGGTTCTCAGCTCCACCCTTTATATTTCAGATTGCACTTTCTTGGCTCTGTTAAAGGCAGTTATCACTTGTCCATCTGCTTTCCTGCTTCCAGTTTTGCTGCTGTTGTCGTTGTCTTTTTTTATTTTCTCTAATCTTTTTTTAAAAATTTTTATTGGAGTATAGTTGATTAACAATTTTATGTTAGTATCAGGTAGACCACAAAGTGAATCAGTTATACACATACAGATACCTACTGTTTTAAAAATTCTTTTCCCATATATGCTATTATGGAGTATTGAGTAGAGTTCCTTGTGCCATCCTGTAGGTCCTTATTAGTTATCTGCTGTATATATAGCAGTGTATATATGTCAGTCCCAGTCTCCCAGTTTATCCCTCCCCACACTTACTCACTGGTAACCATACATTTGTTTTCCCCATCTGTAATGCTGTTTCTGTTTCATAGACAAGTTCATTTGTACCCTTTATGTAGATTCCATATGTCATCAATATCATATGGTATTTGTTGTTCTCTCTCTGACTTACTTCACTTAGTTTAAGAGTCCCTAGTTCCATCCATGTTGCTGCACAATGGCATATTTCATTCTTCTTAGAAAAGTATTTATTTATTTCGTTGTGGCAGGTCTTAGTTGCAGCAGTTGGGATCTTCATTACATCATGTGGGATCTTTCATTGGGGCCTGTAGACTCAGTAGCTCTGAGGCATGTGGAATTTTAGTTCCCTGACCAGGGATTGAACCCACGTCCTCTCCATTGCAAGAGAGATTCTTAACCACTGGACCACCAGGGAAGTCCTTATTTCATTTTTTTTTTTAATGGCTGAGTAATATTCCATTGTATGTATGTACCACAGCTTCTTTATCCACTCTTCTGTGAATGGGCATCTAGGTTACTTTTGTCCTGGCAGTTGTAAATAGTGCTGCGGTGAACATGAGGGTGCATGTATCTTTTTGAATTATGATTATCTAGTTTCTTTATTCTTATATGTTTAGATCTTTTTTAAAAAATGCAAACATACTTTATAATTTTATTTATTTGTTTGGCTGTGATGGGTCTTCGTTGGTGCACGGGCTTTTCTCTGGTTGCAGCGAGCATGGGTTACTCTCTAGTTGCCATGTGCGGGCTTCTCGTTGTGGTGGCTTCTCTTGCTGCGGAGCATGGGCTTATGGGTGCACGGGCTTCAGTAGTTGCTGTCCCCAGGCTCTAGATCACAGGCTCAATCATTGTGGCCCATGCATTTAGTTACTTTGAGGCATGTAAGATCCTCCCAGACCAGGGATCGAACCTGTGTCTCCTACACTAGCAAGCCAGTTCTTTACCACTGAGCCACCAGGGAAGTAAGTACTGTAAGTTTACATCTTTAAAAATACTTCTTCAGCAGTTTTAAGAGGGTTTCAAGGGGCTTCCCTGGTGGCTCAGATGGTAAGAATCTGCCTGCAATGCAGGAGACCTGGGTTCAATCCCTGGTTTGGGAAGATCCCCTAGAGGACGGCATGGCAACCCCCTCCAGTGTTCTTGCCGGGAGAATCCCGTGGACTGAGGTGCCTGGTGGAATATAGTCCATGGGGTCACAAGGAGACATGACTGAGCGGCTCAGCACAGCACCCAGCAAGAGGGTTTCCAGAGCGAGCGTGAATGAGACATGTGGGTTCAGTCTGTTCCTTAATCCAGAAACCAATGTGAGAAACAGTGTATTATGTTTGTAGGTGTTACTCTGTGTTTTTTGGGTTCTATCAGTTATTTTAAATTTTTGTATAATTTCCTCTTTTCGCCCCCGTACCTCCCACGTACCTGGTTGTGGTGTTTACTGTTCCATCGTGGAAGCTTGGGTTGGCGGGGCCGTTACCAGTGGCGAGGTGACTGGAGCCACACTTGGTGTGAGGTTTAATGCAGTCTTTCATTCTACAGGAAGAGGCAGCGACCCTGCCTTTCAGGGAGCCTGGTGCTTACGCCCCCTAGACAGCAAGCCGCACAGCAGCTAACAGGCCCCCTCGCTCCGTCCTGAGCCTCCCCGTGAGGGCTCTGGGCCCTCAGGATTGCTGTGAACCGGTCAGGAAGTGAGCGATACTTCCTCTGTGCTGCTCTGCTCCCATTCTGTTGCCTTCCCTGTCCTGCCCTTGTTTTGTTTTCATCACACCACGTGGCATGTGGGATTTTAGTTTTCTGACCTGGGGCGAACCCTTGCGCCTTACAGTAG